AGCATTTTTTCATATGACTATAGATGGCTTTAATTTCTTCATCTGAGAACTGTCTGTTCATATCCTTTGACCATTTATCAATTGGGGAATGGCTTGTGTTCTTATAAATTTGTCTTAATTCTCATATATTTTAGAAATGAGGCCTTTATCAGAGAGACTGGTTGTAAAAATTCTTTCCCAATTTTCTACCTTCCTTCTAATCTTAGTTGCATTGGCTTTGTTTGTGCAAAAACTTTTCAATTTAATGTAATCAAAATTATCCATTTTGCTTTTCATAATGTTCTCTATCTCCTGTTTGGTCATGAATTCTTCTGTTCTCCATAGATCTGATAGGTAAACTATTCCTTGTTCTCCCAGTTTACTTATGGTATCAGCCTTTATATCTAAGTCATGAACCCATTTTGACTTTATTTTGGTATATGGTGTGAGATTTGGGTCTATGCCTAGTTTCTGCCATACTCTTTTCCAGTTTTCCCAGCAGTTTTTTTCAAAGAGTGGGTTCTTATCCCAGAAGCTGGGGTCTTTGGGTTTATCAAATAATAGATTACTATAGTCATTGACTACTGTGTCTTGCATATTTAACCTATTCCACTGATCCACCTCCCTATTTCTTAGCCAGTACCAAGCAGTTTTGATGATTGCTGCTTTATAATACAATTTAAGATCTGGAATTGCTAGGCCACCTTCCCCTGCATTTCTTTTCATTAGTTCCTTTGATATTCTGGACCTTTTGTTTTCCAAATGAATCTTGTTATTATTTTTTCTAACTCTATAAAATAATTTTTTGGTAGTTTGATTGGTATGGCACTGAATAAGTAAATTAGCTTAGGTAGGATTATCATTTTTATTATATTAGCTCGGCCTACCCATGAGCAACTGATGTTTTCCCAATTATTTAGATCTGATTTTATTTGTGTGAAAAGTGTTTTGTAATTGTGTTCGTAGAGCTCCTGGGTTTGTTTAGGTAGGTAGACTCCTAAATATTTTATAATGTCTACAGTAAGTTTAAATGGGATTTCTCTTTCTATCTCTTGCTGTTGGGCTTTGTTGGTAATATATAGAAATGCTGATGATTTATGTGGGTTTATTTTATAGCCTGCAACATTGCTAAAGTTGTTTATTGTTTCAAGTAGTCTTTCACTAGGTTCTCTAGGATTCTCTAAGTATATCATCATGTCATCTGCAAAGAGTGATAGCTTTGTTTCTTCTTTGCCTATTTTAATGCCTTCAATTTCTTTTTCTTCTCTTATTGCTAAAGCTAAGGTTTCCAGTACAACATTGAATAACAGTGGTGATAATGGACATCCTTGTTTCACCCCCAATCTTATTGGAAATGTTTCTAGCCTGTAATGATTGCTGAAGGTTTTAGATATATGCTATTTATTATTTTAAGGAAGACTCCATTTATACCTATGCTTTCTAGTGTTTTTAATAGGAATGGGTGTTGTATTTTATCTGCAGATAACTTTTTCAAGGAGTTTAACCATGAAGGGGAAGGGAAATTTAAGATGATAGCTAGTAGGATCAAGTAAGGGTTTGTTTTGTTTTTGTTTTTTAGACTGGGGGAGCCATGGGAGTGTTTATAAGCAGGAGAGAAAGAGCTAGTAGAGAGGAAGATAAGAGTGAAGATGATAGTAGGTGCAATCTGATAGTGGAGAAGATGGAAAGAATAAATCACTGATGTATGGGAGTTTGCCTTGGCAAGGAGAAGGTCTGCCTCTTTATATAAGACCAAAGTGATCATGGAGGAAGATGTTTGAAAGATGTAAGGTAAGGAGGAGTTTTCAATGAATGAGCTCAATGTTTTTTTCAATTAAATATGAGATAAGATCCTCGGCTAAGAGGGTAGGGGTGCTGTAGAAGGTTTGTGAAGAGACAGGAAGGTTTAGAATAGCCACTGTGGAGAATGGGATAGTCAATCAATTGTGGAGGAACAGAATGTTTGCTTTGCCATAATGAGTACCCAGTTAAGGTTGGATAACATAATTTGGTAATGTGAACTATCAGTATGGTTTTGTGATTTCCTCCAGCTCTGTTCTGTGGCACATTAGAAAGAGGAAAGGAGGAATACTCAAAAACTGAAGTTCAGGAAGGTATGATCAATGAGATAGAACAAAGGATTGGAGAGTAGAAGATAGTGTAAATTCAACTGTTTCACCAGTTCAGCTGGTCAAGATGGGAAAGGGAGGAGACTTTAGCCCATACAGGGCTAATGGCCTGGGAAAGAATTGACGGGTGGAGGGATTGTAGGTCAAGTGAGGTGAGGATGAAGAACTGGATTAGAAGTTGTAAAACAGAGGGAAAGGTAGAATGATAAAAGATCACAACCAGATAAAAGAATTTCATAGATCATGAACATAGAAGTGGAACATTTGTGGGTAGTGGCAATGCCAAAGGGATAACCATCCCTATGTGTAGCTGAGATGGAGTGTTAAGTCATGGGAACTAAGTAGATTGAACAGCTGGAAAGTTAGGGAATTTGAGGGAGCATCAATATGTATGTTGGAGTCCCCTAGTACAAGAGTAAGAAATGGGGAGGAAAGAAAGTGCTGAATTCACTGAGGAAAGGAGAATTTCCTTGGGAATAACAGATATTAACCACTAGTTTCTGAACTAGGTAATACATTTATAATAATAATAAATTTGTATAATAGTAATAATAAATTTAACAAGTAATAAGTACTAGTATAATAAATTTATGATAGTAATACATTTGGATAGTATGAACCTCAAAGGAAGAAAAGTTGTTTGGTTAAGGTGGTAGAGGGAGAGATTGGAAGTGGCCACGGAAAGCAAGAGCGTTTCAACTCCTCTACCTTGGCAGGTGCTTAGAGAGTAGACTAGGAAAAGGCAATATGAAATAGCTTTAAATATGAAACCAAGGATTTTGTACTTTATCTTAGAGGCAAAGAGAGCCACTGAAGGTATCTTGGGGGACAGGGGAGGTGTGACACGCTCAGATCTGTGTTTTGGGAATATCAGCTTGGTAGCTGTTGAAGGATGGATTGGACTAGGGAGGCTACAAGCAGAGAGACCAATTAGAAAGCTATTACTGGAGGATGTTAGGAAGCTATTATGTTCTGATCTCAAGGAACCTTAAGGATGTCCTGCTAATCCTCATTATCATCCCCTGAGGAGGAAAGGAACAACTATGTTATCTCCTACAGTGGAAAGCTGCCCAAGATGGAATTGGGCATGGTGCGCGGCACTGGCCGCATGATGTAGTCTCCGTTGAGATTCCCTTTTGGCCCCTGTCCCGAAACACCAGACACGGGGGCTGCTACCTTGGGGTTCTATTTCAGACTGCTGCCAACTTGCTGTGTGATGTTGCCCAAGTTGCTTTCCTTCTCTTTGCATCTAGGGCTTCATCTGAGAAAGGGAACATGTGCTACTTCCTACCTCCCCCTTTTCTGGATATGCTAGTGAGGGTTTCTATGAAACCCTTAAAATTTCTGAGGGTTTTGTCTTTGTTAAGCATGTGACCTAAGGAGAGGCTGAGAGAGAACCTGGCCAGTAGGTCCCTACTCACTAAGTACAAAGCTTTGCCCCCAAAAGTTCTATGACAGACATATCCCTACCTTAGGGAGCTTATCTCTAACGAGGGAGTCATCACACACATATAATACTTTAAGGACACTTTCAACACTGTTTATTAGCAAGTGCAGATTAATAAAATGCAAATGAGGCACACCAGAGGTAGTGTGATATGATGGAAAGAACATTAGATTTGGAGTCAAAAGCACTGCATGGGCTGGAACGCTGACCCTGCCACATATCACCTGTGTGACTCAACAACCCTTTTTGGTTGTTCAGTTTCCCCATATGTAAAATGCAGGTTTAGGATTACAAGGCCTCGATGATCTCTTCCAGCTCTAAATGCCATGGATGTTTGTAGAGATCAAGCCATACAGATTGGAGCCCTCTCCAGCTCCTGTCTCCATGTCTTGGCACTGGCTGCCCTCGGTGCCTGGAATGCTCCTCCTTCCATCTTCCACCTGCTAGAATTCCCAGCTTCCTCCAAGACTCGGCATGACATCTTCGGGAGGAAGCCTTCCAGTCTCCAGTGCCTCCAAAGTTACCTTTTACCTACTCTGTAGGTATCTTACATGTACCTATTTATATATGTCATCTCCTGAGGGCAGGAACTGTCTCTTGCTTTTCTTTGTATCATCAGCTCTTAGCACAGTGCCTTGCACACAGTAGGCACTTAATAAATGCTTGCTAACTGATTTCCCAAGTCATTTTAACCTGCAAAGGCCATTGCAGGTTTAACTCTGTGACCCTATCCAAATCCCACTAATCCTCCCAGGCCTAGATTCTTGGAGTCCATTTAAATCTCCCTTCTCTGACTCCCCACATCACTTAGTCTAGGCCTACATCATACACCACTTTACAGCAGAGATGCTACTAGCCCTTCTCTTAAATAATCCATATTGAAGTTAAACCTTTATTAACTCTCCAGCATTAGTGCAGATTTGCTGGATAATGTCATCCAAGGTACTCTCACGGCCTCCAAGCATATCGTTCCATGTGCCTTCTTTGCTTCTCTAACACTAAGTTCTGAAAGGGCAGGAAGCAGGACTTCTCTCGCCTCCTCTATCTGTAGCCCGTGACACCAGCAGAGTCACTGCCCATGGCAACATCTGGGCTAACGAGAACCCAAAGTGATGTGACTTCAGATTTCTTGTTTGTCTGGAGTGGGATGTGCTGAATCATCCTGAAGAGGGACTAAGTGTCTTAATGCTGCGGCATCATCTGGCATTCAGATCTGTGGCTTTCATATACATACCCTCTACTTCCCATCTAATATACATCTGCAGCCCTGGGCAGTTGGGTGGTTGGGAAGCTAATTAGCAGCAGCCCATCACAGACAAAATCCTCCTGCTTAAGTTACTTTTGCCAGGACTCATGGTCATTGCTCCTTTAAACCGCACCCCCACACACACACCCCGTGAAAAAAAGGAAGCATAGCTCAAGCTATGAGGACAGCAGGCAATGAGTCAGGTGGTAAACAAGAATTTAAATGTTACTATGTGCTAGGCTAGCGCAGCGTGAGGCATACAGAGGCCAGTCTCAAGAGACTAGAAAGCATCAGTCTCAGCTCTACCACTGACTTATCAGTATTTTGATTTCCCCATAATGGGTCAATTCAGCTGCCACTCATGGTCTTTTGGAAAGGTATGGATTGGGCAAGGGGGAGGTGATAGAGATGAAGGGAGGAGGAATAGTCACTGGGTGGATGTGCTATAAGTTCCTTGAAAGAAGATCACTAGCAATTTGGGATATTATTAATGAAGACCCAAAGAACTGCTCTCTTTTTTATTGCTGAGGAGAACTAAGGCATGTAGAGATGAAGGAAATCAGGCAAAACATTTTTTTTAAATGAGATCTACAGGAGAGAGCTAGGTGAATTTGTGATTTTTCTCCTAGAGAAGAAAAGTCTTGCAGGATGGAGGGGCTATTTCTACTAAAGAAGAGCATCAGATGCAGGATAAGACCACCCAGGCCCTGTCATTCACTATCTGCATGACTTTGGGCAAGTTTCCATCCTTGGTAGTGCTGACCCAGCTCATTAAAATTCGGTGTGTTTTTTTGTCTGCTCTTTTCAGCCACAATCTTCTCCCCACTCCCCACCAGCTCACTGCTTCTGTTGCCCTCCCACACCCCTTCACCCCTACATGCCCCCATGCCAGCACCTTCTCCCCTCGCCCCTTTCAGCTTTTTGTGTGCTGCATTCCCCCGTTAGACTGTAAGCTCCTTGAGGGTGCTCCAGTCTGTGGATGTCCCTTCTAGAATGTGGTGTGCAGAACAGAACCCCATATTCTGAAGGTGGTATACCCAGCACACACTGCACCTCCTCCAGAAGCCCTCCCAAACCACTCTGGCCAAAGAGTCTCTCCCCTTCCTCCGAAGCACTAATGCACTGAGAGCATCTGAGTGTTTTCTAACTGCCTCCTTTGACCCCTGGGGGTCTGCATTGATGCCAAGCAGCAAGGTCCACTAAAAAGCGGTGAATTCCCACTCAGAGAAAGGACCTTTAAATCCTGCCTCACTTACTGACCTGTGTGACCTCAAGCAACTTACTTAAAGGTCCCTTCCAGCTCTAAAACTGAATTTTTCACATTCATGGCATAAAATTAATACAGTTTTAACTTGGTGGTTACCTGAGAAGAGCCTGGAAGTAGATGCATAAAACAACAACTCATGTTTATCTAGAACCTTAAGATGTGCAAAGCCCTGTGACATTAGGAGAGTTTAAGTACTGTCTCCATTTTATAGCTGAAGTCAAGTTACTTGCCTTTGGCCAACAACTAGCTTTGAACACACCCTGAGGGAGTGGAGGGGGTATCAATTATTTTATCCACCTGCATCATTTTATCAAGATGAACCCAAGGACCCAATAGCCCAAGTCTGCCTTGTTTGGAGGGAAGGGGACAAATAAATTGTGTTTTGAAGAGATCGCCACTAGCCTGAGGGCACCACAATTCAAAGTTGGGGAGCTGACCACAGAGACAGAAAAAGATTGCAGAAGTCTCACACTGCTAACTCCCATCCCCCTGTCCTACCATCAAACCCCATCTTCCTGCTAGACACAGCAACAAACCATTGCGTTAGAATAGCCCCTATGGAGGAAAAGAAGCTTAACAGAAGTAGAGGCAGGACCTACTGTCACCTAAAAGCTCCCTCTGACTCACCACAAAGTATACACATTTTCCTTTTCTTGTATTTGGGGTTTTTCTAAACACAAATTTATTATCTCTCCCTCACCTTTTCCTCTACCACCAATTGAGCAACAATAATAATAAAACGAGTTAAAGCTGTCATAGCAAATATGTCTAGTCCAGCAAAACAAATTCCCAAATTGTCCGCATTTCACTCTGCATTTTAATTCCATCAGTTCTCTGGCAAGAGGTGGACTGCTGGTTTCTTCTCCAGTGCTCAGGCTTCCTGGTTTATCACTGCATTTATCAGACCTTCTAAGGGGTTCTCTTGCATTTGCAACTTGGTTTTCTAATAGACAGTGAGAGAGGGGTGGCCAGGCTCCTCCGGAAGCACTCACTCCCTTGCAGTCACAGCCCCTCCACCTCTTTTCAGCCTGGCCACAGCTCGGCACATGCTACACATCCATTTGTACTTTTCAGAGTAAAACTACATGGTTCTCTTCAGAACAACCATTTCTTATTTGAGTTGTTTTTTTTAAAGACTCTTCAGGTTATTTTCTCCAGTTTCCTCTCCCTCTTCATTCCAATATTCTCCAAGTCATTTCCAGATGAGGGGCACTCCTCAAACAGTCATCTTCCCTTACTGGAGAAACACTTTTGGGCAGCTCTCATTGACCCTGAAATGCTCCCAAAGGACAGGCTGAGAATCCCCAACCTGAGGTCTGGCAGACGAGGAGCTCAGCACCACTGGACAGAATCACAAGGCCGATCCAAGCTCTCAGCTGATTCCAACTGTCCAGGACCCAAGAGATTATTAGCTCTGCTTCTGCCCTTCCAGGGTATCTCAAAGGCCTTCCTCCCCAGCGTGCACTGCATCTGTCTCTGTTGGCCACCAACCTCGTTGCTTTATGAGACATCAGCAGCTCCCCTTTTGCCCGCACAAAGACGAGGCACCTTTGAACTTTCACTGTGCTTCCAAGAATCCCAATTATCTCATGGGAGTCTGCTACAGGGTTCTGTTATGTAGGTCAGCAGGCAAAGGGGCAACCATGTGATCTGGATAGATAAGCTTGTGGTGAGATTAGCCTGTTCCAGCAAGAGGGCAATGTGTTTGGGAACCACACTTCTGCAAGACAGCTCTGTGAACTTCCAAGCTCTTCAAGGTATCAACTGGTGGCCCCGTGTGGCCCCTGAGACTGGAATGTGCTGCCACTGTACCCGTGCCCACCCACTGCAGCCAGGCCAAGCCTTCCTCTAATGGCAGAAGCGAGGCCCAGGCCCAATGCATTGCTTCAGTGACATGTGCAATGCCTTATAGAAAAGTGTGGCTCTACCAGGAAGCCTTCAGCATACCCAGTCATCCCTCACCAGGGTTTGCTGGTCTGACTCCCCAACTCTTCCCTCACATGCAATTTCTCAACACTTGGTTTATCTGCTGTTCTGGAAACAACAATAAATGCTCAAAGGAAGATGAGGAAAGGGAGAGGGGAGGTAGAACTAGGCACACACACTTATCCGGGACCTTATAAAGAGCTACCTGCCAGATTTCTCAGATAGGCTTTAGGAAAGTTGGATTCTAATAAGGTAAGCGCACTTAGAGTCAGGTCACGGGTTCTACAGGAAGAGGGGTCCATCTGCCCCCCTTTACAGAGACAACTGTAAGAACAACACACAAGCAGGATGCTTTTTTGTCCAATTTCCAAATGCCACTGATTTTAGTGGAAGTGACACTTCGGTACGCTCCCACAGTCCTCTTCTTAACCCAGGCCTTAGTCACCTCACACGCAATCTTTGCTAAGTGAGACTGCTATGACAGCCCTGGCTGGCGTCCCTGCTTGCTCAAAGTCTCTGTCTGTACCAAGGATGCTTTAACTATCCACAGACTGGTCTGCAGATATCTTCCTGAGGGTTCATGAACTTAGGAGAAATGTATATCTTTGTTTAACTATATTAGGTTTTCTTTGTAATCCTTTGCATTTTATGCATTTAAAAACATTATTTTGAGAAGAGGTCTATAGGCTTCTCCAGACTGCCAGAGGAGTTCATGATCCAAAAAAGTCTCAGAAGCCCTGATTGACGCCAACTTTCAAGACTCCTTCAGTTTCCTCATCTCCTACAACACAGGATTAGCTCGGGGGAAGAAGCTGAGCCCAAGTTGAATGACTTGTCCAAGGTCACACTGGTGGTATCACATCCCCCAACTCCAAGTTCAGAGCTCTTTCCACTGCCCCATGAAAATCTCCAATCTTTCAGCTGTTTTTCTCTAATACGCCTCCAAATCAACTTGCCCAATAACCACCAAGCACCTCCCCAACCCAAACAGGCACCTTCCATTCAAGTCAGGCTAGTCTTTACTGTTCATTCTATTGTCATTCCTTCAGATGTTCCTCTTACCTGGAATGCCCTCCTTTTCACCTCCACTCTATGTCAATCCCACCCAGACAAGGAGGTCCAGCTCCATTCCTAGCTGCTCCCCAACCACACCAGCCCTCCCCCTCTGAACTCCAGCTTTAATAGAGCACGTGATTAGATATACTCCAATAGAGCTGTGATCTCATCTTGTGGGTATTGCCTCCAGCAATGCTGGTCAAAATCCCTCTGGGTTCACACTTCCTGTCTTATCTTGTTTCCTAATTTGTGAGTCCTGTCACTCTGGCTAGGCTTTAAGGTCCTCGAGGGCAGGGACCACAGCTAATATTTCTCTAACCCAACAGTACCTAACAGAGCTGAGGGCTTAACAGGTGTCCACTGACACCGTGTGACTAACCAGCTCCAGCTCCCTGTAGGTACAAACAGATCTACGGCTGCTGCCACTGCCAGAGCTCCTCAACGACTCCCCTGCCCTGACGGAAAGTCACAACAGTCATTTAAAAGGACCTTTGTGCTCATATCAGCTTTCCCAGGTAGGGTCCACAGAAGTATAGGAAGGGCCCACATTCACAGAGAACATAACTTCTCTCAATTCTAGGACGAACTCAGCATTAGCTGAGATATTTTGCAAGTCATAGCTAATGCCCTGGGCCTTGGTTTCTCTGTACTCAGAATGCAGCCAAAGCCTTTGGAAGAGAAATGACATCAATAAAAAGGATGACTGAGAAAGAAAGCTAAAATGGTGGCTCCCCCCAGTGACTTTCAGCGCCAAAACTCAAACACAGCCTGGATGCCAGCTGCTTCCCCAATCACCGGACCCTCTTCTCATGCAGCAGTGGGGTCCTCCTGACATTCACCTCCATCTGAGGAACCCCCTTGGGGAATGTTCCTCTCCACAGTTCCAACAGGGCCAGTTCTTAAAATTAGTGCTTTACAGTGGAGGATACTATAATGACCTTTCAGTAATTCAATCAACCACCCTTTTCTTTGCCCATTTAGTGTGGAGATGGGTCTGAAAACAATGCTCTCCGAAGAAGGGTTGGGAAATCAAAGGATGGAGCCTTAACCCTAGAAAAGAGAAGCCACGAGAGTGACACAGGACCGCTGTCTTGAGACACCTGAAGAACAATCACGTGGCAGATGGTGTGGCTCCAGAGGGTGCAGGTCCACAGAGTCCCTGGGCCAAGCACTGAAGAACCAATAAAAGTTGTGTGGAAGCCAATTTCAGCTCAATGGAAGAATCTTCTAAAATGTGGGGAGCTATCCCACAATGCAATGAGCTTCCTTATGAAGTTAGTGAGCTCTCTGGCCTCGGAAGAACACGAATGCTGTGCAGATATGGCACTTGTCTTGGGAGTCAGGAAGACCTGAGTTCAAATGTGATCTTAGGCGCTTAGTAACATAATGTGTGACCCTGGACAAGTCACTTAACCTCCCTTAGTGGTAGAAAAGGAATGTGCATATGCCTGTGAAATTTTCAACTTAATAATTCTTGAGATAAATTCTTGGAGAGAGGAAGAGAGTTTGGAACTAATATTGTCATTTGGAATGACACCTCATCTTCTATTTCATTGATCCATGTGTCCTCTTGCTTCGGATCATTAAGTTGACACTCAGTGTTCTTTCCTAATACTGATTAGGAAGTCAACGTTGTTGTTGATTTGTCTCAAACAAAAGCATTGGATTCTCCCTTCATACTTGTGCCCTAAGATGATTTTATTCTACTGGTACAATTTTATTAAGCAAAAAAATAGAGAAATAAAAGCAGCTGAAAGGGGTACGCTGCTGTGGACAATGCTGATTTCCCCACATGCCTACCCTGATGAGGCCCCTTGGCTACTCTTGGCCAACAAATCTTGTGACTGAATCTTCTGTTATGGTCACCACAGCTCCCACCTCTGGGACCAGAAGTCAGGAACCAACAGTAAACTTCAAGAGGAGAGGAATGAGAACAAGACCTGCCCTACAGTGGAAGGACAAAAAGCAGAGAGTAGCAAGTGGGCTGCTGGAGAAGTTTGGGGTCTTCTCTGCATTTTAGCATAGCTGGCTTTCTGTGTGAGGTATGGGGACTAAGCCCACTGAGTGTGTGTGCTATGGGGGAGGCAGGAGAAAAAGCAGTGATGCAGAAGGAATGGTGAATACAGAGGACCCCAGTGTAGGAGTCCTGGACTCTACTCCTGACATGCCAAAAAGGCTGAATCCCCTGCCTGGTATCTGTGAAGTGAACATTTGAGTGCAAAGTGTGGTAAGGGATTTAATCCTCACCACAAGATTTTCTTTCTCTGGTTTTCACCATCCCCATTCCCTCTCATTTTCCCAAATCTCTTCCTAAAGGGTAGTACAATTGAATACAGGTACTATTTTGATGGAAACACAGGAAGCATTCACTTCCAGGAGGGCCACTGTCCTAGGCATTAAGAATGTCTGCCTAGCCAACCCACACTCTTCCTTGGGCCAGAGTTTATCAGGTAGGGTCAAATCTGCAGACTTTGTAAGTGACCCATAGACACACATTGCAAAGAAGGAATGAATGATATTTTTCATTCCAGTTAAAAAACTGTTGAGGCACTGTGCTGGGCACCATGGGGCTATCAGGAGGTACAAGGCATAATTTCTAGCTTCAAGGAGCTTACAAGAGAGGAAAAAGATGAGAACAGAAACACCAAGTTCCCTGATCTCAAAAGGGGTCTGGGCCCTTGGGCTGCAAACCCAGACACCAACCAAACAGCAAGGGGTTCAGCTGCCCTGTGGATCTCTAGACCAGAATGAGTCTAAAGCCAGCTCTTACACGACACACATAACTCTTTATCACAATTTCCCAACCCTCCAATGCATATGAAACACTGTGATGAACACCCGCTTCCCCACATTTCAGGAAAACAGTCCAAACCCCTATGAGAGACTGTCCTCCACAGAGGCAGTGCTGGGGTGAAGTGGCTGGAGAGGACTGCCATCTGTACCCCCACCGGAGCCCCAAGAGAGAGCCCAACGGCCCCGGATCACAGCTCCTCTGTCCTGGGGCCAATCTGCTCCTGGGAAGGGCACAATGCTCTACACTGGCCCAAGCACCAGACCACTCCAGCCGAGTCTTTGTCAGTGTTACTGCTGCTTCTCCCTGGAAAACTGGCTGAGCACACCTGGTGCGTGAACTGTTTCTTGGGTCAACTCTGGTGCAGCAGCTCCCGCTCCAAAAGGACCTCTTTCACTTTCCCCACAATCGTCCAGACTTCAGCCATGGCCCCCAGACCTGAGGAGCAAAGCCATCCAAAGTGAAACCTAGGATAATGCACAGGCGCTGCAGCCTTGGTGGCCTTTAACGAAGCCACATGCGTATCCCCAGATATCAGAATTGGAAAAGGAGCCAGGGAAGCTGTAGTCCTGGTGCTAACCAGGAAGCCTGTGAAGAAGGTGAACCCTTGCAGAGACCAGCATGGAGCCCACCTGGCCTGACCATCCCAGATCTACCCCCTCCCCACCTCTGTGACATCCCAAGGACTTGAGGCCCCATCTCTTCTGGGATGGGGGTAGAACAAGCTTCCTGGAACAGGCCAAGTGGAACAAGTGGCTGGAGTAGGGCCTGAGTTGGGGGCTCGTGAGGCCTTACCTTCATCTCCACATGCAAGTTTCTTAGCCACACAGGGGACTTCAGTGTAGCCAAAGCCCTTCAGCTGTTCCACATGCTGGGCCGTGATGGGATGCTCCCACATGGCAGTGTTCATGGCTGGACAGAAGAGAAGAGGCTTTGCCCGATCCCAGGCCCGGATGACGCAGGTCTGTGAGGAAGGGGGACAGGGTCATTCAACACTAGTTCTTGCCAGAAGACCTTTGATTCCAGCCAGGTGCCCCCTATCCCCTCCTCAGGCAGAGGCCAGTTCCATCGCCTAGAACGTCTTAGCCTGGCCATATGACACTGCTAGTTAAGGTCTTGTCTCTTAGTTGACCTCTTTGTTTTCATGTATATTAGTCCCTTCAGCCCATAACACCTTCTCCTCTTCCCTTTGCTTATCCCTCAAGGGCTGGCTCAAGCCACACCTAAGATGGCAGCTCCTTTAGATCTCCTAATGCATTTAGGGTCTCTAATCAATCATCTGACACTTAGTAAATACTGTCATACTATTTGTTAACTATTACATGAGGATCACATCTTGTCATCCCTACTTCACAGTGAGTGCCTCAATAGTAATTTTCACTAATTTACCCAGAGCTTTAGAGTCTGCAAAGTGCCTTTCTCACGACCACCTGGGAGGCAGAGAGGCCACCTCTATAACCTGCCCCATATATACAAGGAACCTGAGGCACTGAGAAGTTCAATTACATAGCTAGTAACTGCCCAGATCAGAATTCAAACCCACACCTCCTGACTCCAAGGGCAGAGGTATTTCCACTGTGCCACAGGGCTTTTCTCTTTCCGTCTTTCCACAGTGCCTTGCTCACAAGACGGTATGGAAGCTCAATAATTACTAGGGGATCAGTCTCTTCTCCTCCTAATCTCTCCCCTAACTTTGTCCTCAGCTCTGAGGAGGCTAAAAACTGTGCAGGATTCCCAGTGGGCGACAGGGTACTTGCCCCAGGATCTCAGCTACAGAGTTGAAAGAGACCTTGGCCCTCATTCATCCAATCCTTGCACTTTTCAGATGAGGAACTGGTGATGGAAAGAAATTGGGTCTCACAGGAAACACATGGCAGAGGCAGGATTCAAACCCAGGGCCTTGGGAACCCCCATCCAGTGCTCTCCCCACTGTACTATACTGCCATTCCCTAGAGGCCTCTAGCTAAACCATGAAGGGTCATGGCTAAACTGGTCAGCTAAGCCAGTCGACTGCAAGCCACACAATTAAAGGCAGGGTGTCTGACAGGTCTCCACACCATCTTACCAAACCATAGCCAAAGATGGGTAGAAAACAGGAAAGATTCCCAAAGGAAAAATACTCAAGGGACCAGGGGCTTCTCTGGTAGAAAGGGAGGCTGTGACAGTTCCCATTTATCTATATGTTAAACTTTATAATTCTCTTAACAACTCTGAAAGGGAGATAATGCATTGCAGAGGGAGAGGAAATGACCTGCCACATTCCCATGGCTAGCAAATAGCAGGAGCCATGACTCAAAGCCAGATCTTCTGAGTGCCAGGATTGTCCTCAGGGACACACTGTGTCTAGTGCACAACCCACCACACCACACAAGGTGACACATCACTGCTGGTTTGCAAACTGTTGTTGGTTTTTTTTTTTAAAGATGAGTCTTTTTGTAGTCACACCTCATATGATGTGGTTATTTTAAGTTACAGATAGTACATGCCAAAGGAATTTGGGGTGGGGATGGGGACAGAGAGAGATAGCCACAGACAAAGAAAGACAGCAATATTCTTAGTGAGGATTTCACCCAGAAGGTGGGACTTGAACTAGCCTTTGCAGGCTGGGTAGGATATGGCTAATCAATCAATAGCCATTTACTAAGCACCTACTATATGCCAGGCACTGTGCTAAGTACCAGGGATACAAAAAGAGGCAAAAGAGAGTCCCTGCCCTCAAGGGGCTGGATGGCCCCTTGTTGCAGAATACTAGAGCAGGGGATCTCATTTATGTACAGACTGGACGAGATGGCCTTTGAGGTCCCCTCTGACTCTGAGATCCTGTGACCGGGAGCGCCTCCCTGAAGAAGAGGATGCTCCTCTGTCCAGGGAGCTGCCCAGATTCGTTTTGTACTTCTTCAGTCCTGGCTTCAGGGCCCATGGTGGGAAACAGCGGTCTGTAGGCTGCTTTCCCTGATGGGAAGGCTAAAGCGTGACATGCTGATGAGGCAGTCACTGGTCCTGCTCTCAGGGCTCCAAGGTTCCACCCTGCAGGAGGGGAGGGAAGAACTGCTACCTCCGCAGGCCTGCCTGAAAAGCTACCTCAAGCACCAGAATTTCCCTCCGGTCTCCACCAAGGAAACAACTGAAAGAGGTGCAGGGAGTGAGCAGTTTCAGTTGCATTTCCTCTTGGCTTCCAGCCAAGCTCCTTCTGCAGAACCTGACTGTGGGCCTGAACAAGCCCTTTCCATTTGAATTGGCTGGCCTCAGCTTCAGGACCAGCCACTTAGCACATGCCATTGCTGGCAGAAACACAAGACAACCCAAGCATCTGCTTTAATCTCTGTTAAACCTCAGGCCCCCAAATCCAAGACCTGCTCACAATCACATGGTACACAGAGGGCAGAAAGAACTCATTACCACTATATCACCTTCTGAACAACCCCCCTCCCCAAACAGCAGGACACCTTGTCTCTGCTAGAGGGAAGCTTGCTAGGCCAGTGGGGGGTGCAGGGGTGGGGGGGGAGGTTTGCTCACCAGTTAGAAGATCTAGATTCTGGTGTGGGCCCTGCCTTCCCTGTTCCACTGTGACCCTGAGGACGTCACTTACCCTCTGAGGATCTCAGTTAATCTCTTACGTGGCATGGAAGGAACTCATTGCTACTAACCTAAATGAGGGGATAGGGATAATCTCTGGGCAAAGGCTCTGATCTACTTACCAAAAAATAGGGCTAGATGAACCTAAGGCATGTTAAACTATATTCACTGTTTCATGGCACCTCTTCACACACTATCAAAGTCGGAAGGGACCTCGGAGGCAGCGTGGTCTAGTCAGACTCAAATGAGCTCATCTGCCACAATGGCCCCTAACAAGTGGGCATCCAGTCACATGGCCATGTCCTGCCTGGCCTACACCTTCTGGGTGAAGCCTTCCCTAGGAACACCAGGCTACTCTTTCCAGGGCAGCAGTTCCTTTGAAGCCCTTGGGTCTCTGACAAGCCTCACTTCCTAAAGTCGGCATGTCTTTGCTTTTACTCCCCCCAAAATCAGCTGACACCTCCATTTCTTTCCTTCCCCTCTTTACCATGCCAAAGCTATTCTAACTGACAGAGAATCTGCACCATAGACCAGTGGCTAAAGCTTCAAGTTAAACAGAGAGAGCAGTTGGGCTTTGAGTGAGGGCCGACAGGAAGTAAACACACTTATCTGATCTGACATATGTGTTTTCAGGCCCTACTGATCAAGTGGAGATGAAGGGGGAAGCCCAGAGGGTGGGGAGAAGAGAGGGAAAGAAAGGTGGGGAGTTATAAGATGATAGAAGGAAAGAAATGGCTAGGCAGGGCTGCCCATGTCTGTTTTCCTGGCTACCAGAGAGGTGGAAGGTATAGGATGAGCTCAGAAATCCTGAGCTACTGCGGCCTTAAGGGCTAAGCGAACTGCACTGGGTGTCTGCACTAAGTCTGGCATCAATATGGAGAGCCCTCCAGGGGGCAAGCCTCCAGCCTCTCTGAGGAGGGGAAACTGGCCCAGATCAGAAACAAGCAGGTCAACAGCCCTTGTACTTTCACTCTGATGGAGACAGGGAGTTCTAGACTTTAAAAAAAAGAATGAAATGAGGCACTGAAATATGAGCAAAAGAGAGAAGGGGGGGTGAGAAACAGGGAGAAAGAAGAGAAAGCCATCCAGGATCCAGAACAGAGCATGGGTAAAAGTGACAAGGGATGACATAAGATGCTTTTAACCAGTGTCAAGCTCTTGGTATGTCTGCCTATCACCAGTTATTCTATCTACCTTCCTGCACACAAAGGAGACAAGGTCTGAGGAATGAGTCCCTTCTCTCGAGGCAAGAAGAAGCACCAAGAACCACAGGATCCTGGGCCACCCTTCCTCCCACCACGGAGCCCACTGGAAAGCGAGAAGGCCTGACACCAGCAGGAGTGGCAAGGCCAACTCAACAGGACGGCGGGGCACAAGCGATCACTCACCAACAAGTTGTCACAGATGCCACTGGCCACCTTTCCCAGCGTGTTAGCATCCAGAGGGGCGACTACCATGAGGTCTGCCCATCTCCGAAGGTCAATGTGCAGGACAGGGTCAGAGCGGCACTTCCACATCTGAAAACAGGAAGTCGATTCAATTCAATCCAGCTAACACTTATTAAATGCCTACTGTGCTAGGCAGACAGAAACCCTGACCCTGGGGAACTTACATTCTATCCGGATGTGGAGGGGCGCAGGGGCTGCTGCCTCCACCAACACAGACCAGTAAGGCTTTGACAGGCCACACCAGAAATACACAAGCCTGAGCACAGAGAGAGATCACCCAGCGACAGCACAGGCTGGCGGACCAAAGGCCTTAGAGCAAGTGCTCTTCACCTGGGAAGAACTCTGAGGACTCAGATGGGAAAAAGGACATCTTTGTTTTTACTGACTGCTAACTGAATTCAGCATTTCCTTCAATTATGAACACCTTTCTAAGAAGGACTCGGGCCTCCCTAGACTAGGTACCAAAGGCATCTATGACACAGAAGTTCAAGAACCATCCCTTAAAGAGATGGGGCTGGGAGCCCAGACGTGCTGCACCTTACCCTTCTAGTCCCTTAAATTCAGTTGAGGGAACAGAATTGTGGCATTTCCTTCGACAAAGGGAACATGATGCCTCCATTCAGTCTTGGGTTTGCATTTATTCATGTGCTAGGGGCTGGAGACAACAAAGACAAAAGACAAAACGCCACAGTCCCTGGCCTGGGGAAGCTAACACTCTCCAGCTTTGGGATTTTGACCATCAGGGAAGGCCACTCCCAGTGGGACACTGGGTTCTGCAGCCTCACAGTGCCTGGTTCTCAGAAGCCACCAAAGGAGGAGGAGAACAAAGGGAATGAAAGGACAAGGGAAGGGAGGCAGAGAACACTGTTTAGTGAGGCTGAGGCAACTGCATATTTTGTGCACCAACTAGAATTTTTCTGGGTCTAAAGATTTTAAAAAACTATTGGCAAAGTTGCCTGCAGCTTATACTTTATGGCTGATGAACCAGACTGTGGAATTCCCTGCTGCAGGATATTAGGATCCTGCAGACAGGATGAGGGAAAGAACTGGATAAGCTCGTGCTAGTGAAGACAGTGCTCTGCCTGGAAGACAGACTGGGTTTCTGGTCTTTCAGCTGACTTAAGGCATCAGAGCACAGCTGGTCGACAGCTTGAGAAATAGTTTCCATGTTTCTTTTGCTCATGAGGTTCTGACCACTGACACAAGTCTGGACCTTCTGATCTGGTCTGACAGAGCCCAGGAGGATGGCCAAGGGTAGAAAGGGGCAGGCAAGGTAAGGAGTTTGGGCCCAGGGCCCCAGAGCACTGACCTCCCATTCATCAGTGTCACTATAGACTGTGACAGGAACATCACAAGAGTTGTAGAAATGTTTTGCTCTCTCCGTGGTCACCACTGCCACTTTCAACTGCCAGTGGAAAAAAAGAGGAAGAAGGAAGAGAGAAGAGAAAACAGTTACTCAAAGGTCTGAAGGTCCAAGAGGGGTTGCAGGCTGAAAAAACAGGTTTGCTTCAGCCACGGCCCTTTGAGGATGATTTCCTCACACTCCCATCATCCCATTTTTCACATTTGCACAGCACTTCTCCTCCGCTGCCCAAAGGTTAGACCCCAGCAGGTGCCTATGGTTTCAGTTCCCTCTCTGAGGGAAGCTGAGTGGGTAGGGCTGCTGAGCTGTTCAGGATGAGTCACCAGGTTCCTGCTGTATATAAATCAGCAGCAGCCCATCACATTAGCAGAGGGAGGCAGAGAAGCAGAAGCAAGGAGATGAGAGAGAGAGGGGCACTGAGAAAGGGAAGCAGCTTCTCAAAAAGTAGTATGGAGGGGCAGCCAGGTGGCTCAGTGGGGAGAGCACTGACCCTAGAGTCAGAAGGACCTGAGTTCAAATCCGCCCTCAGATACTTGTGAGTTGTGTGACCCTAGCCATGTCACTTAACCCCAATTGCCTAAAAAAACATAAAACAACAACAAGAAGTGCGCCTACGGAAAGAGGTGGGAGCCTCACTACTGAGACTTCGGTCTGTCCGCTCTGCAGAAGCAGAACAGGCCTAGCAGACAACACTGGGGTCTGCCCCTCTTGGACATCAGTGGTTGAGGGGTTGTAGAAAGACAAGCACACAAATGTACTACTGGTGGGACTGCGAAAGGATTCGACTATTCTGGAAAGTAATTTGGAATGGTGTAAAAAAAGTGACTAAAATGAAATTCCACTGCTAAGCACAAACCCCAAAGAAGTCAACGATAGAAAAGAAAAGCTCCCACAGACACCAAAATATTTACAGAAGTACTCTGTGGTAGCAAAAAACTGGAAAGAAAGTAGTTGCCCATCTATCAGGGAACAGCTAAACAAACGATGGTACATGAATATAATCGATTACTGTGTTGTAAGAAACAATGAACATGGGAGCAGCTAAGGGGCACAGTGGATAAAGCACCGGCTCTGGATTCAGGAGGACCTGAGTTCAAATCTGACCTTAGACACATAACACTTAGCTGTGTGATCCGGGGCAAGTCACTTAACCCCATTGCCTAGCGAAAGAAAGAAAGAAAAGAAAAGAAAGAGAAAGAAGAAGGAAGGAAGGAAGGAAGAAGGAAGGAAGGAAGGAAGGAAGGAAGGAAGGAAGGAAGGAAGGAAGGAAGGAAGGAAGGAAGGAAGGAAGAACATGATGTATACAGAGAAGTCTGGAAAGACACATAAACTGATACAAAGTAAAGTAAGTAGAGCTAAGAAAACAATATACACAATGACTACAATAATGTAAGTCGAAAGAACACAGAAACTGAGTAGGATAATATCATAAAAGGCCAGCTTAGCTCTAAACAGATATGAAAAGTTGTCTCCCCCTGCTCCTTTGCAGAGATGGGGGCCCATGGGCACAGAACACTGTGTAGAACATCAGACTTTTTTAAAGATATAAATTGGTTTTGTTGAACTCTTCCCCCCCTTTAGTCTTTGTTTAAGGGATAGTTCTCTGAAAGGGGGAAGAAGGCAGAGATACAGAGGGAAATGTGAGTGACATAAAGCAAAAGATACTCATTAAAAACCTATTTAAGGGCAGCTAGGTGGCACAGTGGATAGAGCTCTGGCTTGGAGTCAGGAGGACCTAAGTTCAAATCTGGCCTCAGACACTTGACACTCACTAGCTGTGTGGCCCTGGGCAACTCACTTAACCCTGACTGCCTCACCAAAACAAAACAAAACAAAAAAAAGAATGCATGAACAAAACTGATTAGGATAAGAAGGGAAACTGTCAATTCAAGAAAAAAAGATCTTTGCATCAAATACCTCTGATAGGTTTGATATCCAAAGTACTGAGGAACCTAACACAAATATATGAAGTCAAGAGCCATTCTCCTTGATAAGCAGTCAAAGGAAATAAACAGTTCTCCAAAGAAGAATTAGAAATTATAAGCAACTATATGAAAAACGGTTCCAAATCACTAATAGAGAAATGCAAATCAGAACAAGCCTGAGGTATCACCTCCCATGAGTGTCCTTTTGGCAAAGACAACAGAAGACAGGAATAGTTAATGGTATAAAAGAGTTAGAGTAGGATGGGGATACTAATACACTGTTCTTGGCTGTGAATTGGTCCAAACATTCTGGAAAGGAATTTGAATTTATGCCAAGAAAGTGACTATAATGTCCATACTCTTTGACCCAGCAATACCACTGTTAGGCATCTGGCCAAAGGAGGTCAAAGATAGAAAGAAAAGTTCCATAGGTACCAACACTCTTGAGGCAGCACTTTTTGTAGAAGTAAAGAACTGGAAACAAGGTAGATTTCCATTAATTAATTTAATTAATAATAATTTCTAAATAATAATAAAGAATTAATTAATTGAACAATGAATTCAAAGAATATAGAGAGGCATGGGAAGACCTATAAATTGATGCAAAATGACAGAAGACATAATGACTATAATAACAGAAATGGAAAGAAGAATGGAGAGCACCTACAAAGTCACACTCAGGACTTAGATAACTACAACCACAAAACACCCCTTAAAGCACTCACTGTATGCCAGGTACTATGTTAAGTGCTGGGGAAACGAAGAAAGGCAAAAAATACCCTGTTCCCAAGAAGCTCGAAGCCTCCTTAAGACCTCATGGGGGAGATAACATTCAGACAGCTATGTGCACGATATACTGGGATGAGTTCATTAAGGGGGATCAGGAAAGGCTTCTTGCAGAAGGTGGGATTCTGGCTGGAGCCCCAAGAGAGCCAAAGAAGCTGTGAGCCAGAGGTAAGGAGAGAGAAGACTCTATCGCAATACAGAGAGCGAGTTTTGTTTGAAGAACAGCAAGGAAGTCAGTGTCACTGGACTGCAGAGTATCTGGAAGATAGGAAGGCGTGAGAAGATTGACAGGTAGAAAAGGGCCAGGTGATCAAGGGCTTTAAAAGCCAGACAGAGAATTTCATATTTGATGAGCCGCTGAAGTTTAATGAGTAAGTAGGTGACATGGTTAGACCTCCGCTTTAGGAAGATCACTGGCAGCTCTGTGGAAGATGGACTGGACTGGGGAGAGAGTTGAGGCAGGACGACCAAGAAGAAGACTGTTAGAATAGTCTGAGTGTGAGGTGATGAGGAGCCTGTATCAGGGCGGTAGCAACATCAGAGGAGAGAAGGGGATTTATACAAGAGATGTTAAGAAAGTCTGATCAACGGGACTTGGTAACTGATTGGATATGGGGAGTAAGCGAGCATAAGGGATCAAGGAAAACACCGAGGTTGAGAGCTCGGATGATTGGGAGGAGGGAGGTGACCTCAAGAGTATCAAGGAAATTAGGAGGAGGGGAAAGTTTGGGGAGACAGATAATGAGTTCCGTTTTGGACATGCTGAGTTCAAGGTGGATAACAGGACATCCAATCCAAGAAATAATTGGAAAGACAGTAGTTGTTTGTGTTTGGGCCATGATAATAAAATAAAAACAACACTACTACTTATATGAATTTACGGAGAGAGACTTGGAATACTAGACCTCAAACTACACTACAAAACAGGAATCATTAAAACTAGTACTGGTTTAAAAATATGGAAAAGTTGATTAACGGGTCAGCAAGACCCATGACAACTGAACACAGCAGTACTGTGTTTGATAAACACAAGAACCTGAATTACTTAGGTAAGGACTCTCTATACGACAAAAACTGCTGGGAAAACTGGAAAGTAGTCTGACAGAAAACTGGTTTAGACCAGTACCTCAAAGCATGTACCACAATAAGCTCCAAACTGATATATGACCTAAATATAAAAGTTCATGTCATAAACAAATTTGAAGAGGGGAGATACTTTTTATAACTGTGGATGGAGAATTCTTAACTAAATGTGGGACAGAGATGATCTATTAAATTAACATTTTTATTACATTGAATGAAATTTACATTTATAAAATTAAAAAGCTTTTACACAAGAAAAATCAATGTAGTTTGAAGGAGAATTAGAATTAGAATAATCTGACCATTCTGGAAAACAATTTGAAAGAAAATTCATTAAACTTTGACCCAACAATACCACAAGTAGGCATATACAACAAAGAAATGAAAGACCAAGGGGCAACACCCACATGTACAGAAATATTTATATCTCCACTGTGCATTTTGCCAAAGAGCTGTCTGCTCACCAGCTGGGGAATGGCTATTATGGTATATGAAGGTAAGAGAGTACTACTGTGCTTCAAGAAAGGACAAATATGACAGACTCACAGAAACCAGAATACACTTGTATGAAGTGAGCAGAACCAGGAGAACAATGACCACAGCAAGGTAAAGGAAACCAGCTTTGAAAGGCTTCAGAATCCTTACTAATGAAATGACCAATGATGACTTCATAACACTGATGATGAAACACACCCCCCACTGCTTGGCAAAGAGTTGATAGACTAACGGTGCAGAGTAAGACACATTTTCAAACAAAGCCAATGTACTGATTTGTCTTTCCAGACTATACTTACTTGTCACAAAGAAAAGGCTGTATATTTTTAGGTGGGGTGAGAGAGGGAATAGGCAGTGAGAATAATTCTAAGGTTTGGAATTCAAGTGACTATTCTCAACAGAAACAGAAAAGTTTGGATGGGAAGAAGGTTTGGGGATTTAAAAAGAACACCTGGACATGTTGAGTCTGAGATGCTAATGAGACATCTTGGTAGAAATGTTTAACAAATCAGTGGCAATGTGGGGCTGAACTGTTGTGATAAATCTACCAAGGTTTCCAGGCATTAAAACTGTATGTATACACAGTTTTCTTTATTTTTTGTACAAAAAATACGTTTTTGTAGGTACCCTGAGTGTGGAAATTCTCTTCACAGATCCAGAACATCAACTCTTCCATACCGTAGTCTTACTTGCCTGAGGCACTGGACAGTTAAGTGACTTGGCCACAGTCACACTACTGGCATTTGTCAGAAG